AATCTGCCATAGACATTTAATGTTCTCATTGTTAATTGATATTCTTCTGATTGGTTATCTATACATAATATAGGCAGAGAACGACCGATAGCTTGCGGGAACACTACCTACAGAACTGGTGGAAGGTTGTCCCATGGCGGACTTAAGTCCGCCAGTCACCACCTGCGTAGACATCGTGAATGAATCGTGCAAATCATGTCCATTACGAGCTGCCGCCTTCAGCTTAATGGCGGGATCGTGACGCTTGTTAACTATGATCAGAGTCTGCGTCACCCGACGAATTGGATAACAAGCTCCAGCATGACTGTTCACTCCTGCTGTAGCTATGAGCAGTCCGAACCGCAGAAACCGGACGTAAGAAAGTGGTAGGCCATGAAATGTTCTCATCGCTTGAGATATCGAAGTCTTACATAATGTCTGGATATTCACTGTCTCCAGTCGTCACCTCTAACTCCGAACTCGTAGCGCTGGACTGCGAGTGCGAGGCATCAGTGGAACTCACATCATCCTCACCGTCACAAATACGCTCGTTGGCACCACCAGTCACACGCTTTAACGGCCGACGCGAATCTTCATCGCACTTCTTCCTCGCGCACGAGGTTTCGGTTGTCTGAAGCCAAGTATCAACTTGATGGAACGATGAAATCCTTGAACCACGAACATTTGATTGCCGACTGGGACACCAAAATCATCAACACACGAGCGCCCAGTTCAAATTCACAACCCATTTGTTTGTCTTCTGCGACATAGAAAGGGTGGCCATCTGCCAATGCATACGCCCCTCGCAGGATGACCATGTACGCATTCAGGTCATCCCACGGTGATGAATATTATGTCCCCATGCCGTCAATACCTCCTGTTATTTGTCCCTGCCTGTCACACCGAGCTCATTAAGCATGCGATTCGTAACAAGGTTCAAAGTGCAACCCAAACCCGCATACGCCCACGTGTGCATAGCCCCAACTATAGCAGAAACCACCGCACCATTTCACTTGCGACGCGACTTCTTCTTTGACACCTCGCCCGCTGACCCCCCATAACCTGGGCAGCTTCTGCCGTGTGCTTTGGAGAGTGGCAATCTGTACAATACAGGTCCTCATATTCCGACGACTCGGAATACGCACGACCTCCACCTTAGCTCCCTCTGCTCTTATTTCGCCCACGCTCACGACTACGTGAGCGCAAACGCTCACGATACGTTTTGGCATCCTCTGATTCCGAATCCCGACCACGTTGATTCCAGGGCTTGGAATAACACCCATCCCCGTCCTTTCTGTTGTACTTCTCTGGAGTACGCTCGATTTGAAACCGAGATCTCGACTTGGAACGCAATTCACCATTTTAGTCCCCGCTCCCGTCTTTCTTCGTTGCTTGCGAGACTTGTAAATTTTATAGTTAAACCGTGCCTGTCACTGCTGCTGCTGGGTAGTCAACTGCTGTTGCTGACCACCACCTCCTTTAGTATTCTTCCCGCCATGGTTACCACCACAACCACCTGCCTTCTGGTCATTGCCATTCTGCGGGCGGCCTTGCTGCCGATTGCCCATGCGGGCCTTAACCTTGGTGCTATTCCCATCTTCGATCGGAATAAAATCGAACAAGGATAAACCGTAAAGTGCCAATGACTATTGCAGCCAACTGAGCAAGCGCAACGGGCCTTGCTCAGCGAACCCAGCCACAGAAAGAACATGCTGCGTGTTTCGAAAAATGAGCGTAAACAACAGCTCAACAACCACATTTTGCTCATTCACTTCACGCACAATCTTCTTTAAAACTGTGCAATCTGCCACCATACGCTCGCTGTGATAGCGGTGAGCTTCCTCCGCCATCACACAGCGCGCTTTCTTCCTCACTTGCTGCCTCATGGTATCCTCCTGCTGAGTCTGCGCCCATTGCGCCTTCTCAGCTTCCGTCTGTTGGGCATCACCACCACCCATTGCCGCACCCACTGTTCCTAAGTCCGGCTTTGTAGATGTGGGATTGTGTTGCCCTATAGGTCGCGACAATGTAGTCGGCTCCGGAACCGCCGAAACACCCGGCGCTGCCGTCCGCCCACTATCTAAAGGCGTGTTGAATGCAACATTTCGTTGATCTGCCAGAAATGCAGCCGAACGATGGCGAGCTACCTCATTTACCGCACTAGATTTAAGCATTTCTAAATTACTACGCAAGAGAGAGGCCGAGCCCGAATCTCACAGGAAACTTTTATTCTGGGATACTATCGTAGCTCGTAGTGACACTACAAAATCATCGGTTGAAAAAGCCGCAGTCTTCGCCGCCGTCAGCACATCAGGAGATTCTTCTTGAACGACTTTCAGTAGTGCCCTGCTCGCCATATATGTGAGCAACTCTTGCAGCACATGCACTGTATTTGCGGATCTTTCTGCAGTGTACGCGCAAAGGCCGCCACCACCGAATGCAAAGTGTCCTTGCGTAAATGACGCCGTTCACCTGCATACAACGTGGCCATCGCCAATAACCACATGTTGTCGCCTAGCATGCCGGGCAGCATATTTAGATACATTTTACTGTACAGCCGCTGGCCTATATACAGGATCAGCATCTGTTTTTTAGCTTCATTTTGATCGTCATTAACGTCATTCATGAATAGTAATCGTCACTTTGTTGCCATGCAACAAGTGACGCTAAAAATGCTGGACCATGACGACTGTTCTCGATATGTACACTATCTAGCACACCAACTATAGACTACTATTGCGAGCTCGAAAATTCAAGCTAGTAAGAGAAACAATTTCTTAAATAGTAGCATTATTGGAAGTTGGTAAAAAAATAAAGTAGAATTCTGAGCCCAGTAATATATACTGATAATGTGTCAGTGTAAATATTTGGTTCTCACAATTTCATAATTTCAAGTGTCATTAATTTCCTACTCCAAAGTTCGGTACTACGGTTCCTATGGCCCAGTCCGATCATGACAGTTCCTAGGGCCTCTAGGCTGATCACAATATATATATATA